AATTAAAATGGCACACTAGAAAATGTCTATTTACCACAAAAGAGGGCAGTAATGGAGGAATAGAGAAACTAAAGAAAACAAAAGATATGTAGAAAACAAATAGAAAGTAACAAATATAAATCAGCCTTAGAAGTAATTATGTTCAATGTAAATATTAAAAAAATAAAAAGGCAAAGATTTGCAGAATGGATAAAAAAGAAAACTGTGCTGTCAAAAGAGATACACATTAGATTTAAAGTGTAAGTAAAAAGGAATTAATAAGGTAAAGGGGAAAATATTCATCATGAAAACAGAAATTGAAAGAGGCCTTGAGTGCTGCACTAATTGTCTTAGCCAGATTGGGCTGCCATACAAGATACCACACACTTGATGGCTTAAATAATATAAATTTATTTCTCACAGTTCTATAGACTAGACGTCTAAGATCAAATTGTCAGTATGGTTAGGTTCCGGTAGTGGCCCCCTTTCTGACTTGCAGATGGCAGCCTTTTCTCTGCATCCTTACGCAGGAGAGGGGGAGAGAGAGAAAGGGCGACAGGGAGTCCTTTGGTCTCTTCTTACAAGGGCACTAATTCCGTCTTGAGAATCTCAACCTATGTCCTTGTGTAATCACTCCCCAAAGACCCATATCCAAATGAGGGTTAGGGCTTCAGCAAATGAATTCTAGGGAGACACAATTAAGCCCATAGCACAAATATCAGACAAAATAGATTTTAAGGAAAGGCTGTTAAAGAGACATGGAAGGGTGTTTTGATAATAAGAGTATTAATCCATCAAGATAATATAACAATTATAAACATATATGTACCCAACAACAAAGCCCCAAAATTCCTGAAGCAGAAACTGACAGATTTGGAAGGAGAAACAGATAATTCAAAAATAATAGTTGGAGACTTCAGTACCTCATTTTCAAAATTGATAAAACATTAGCCAGAAAATCAATAAAGAAATAGAAGATTTGAACAAATCTCTAAGCTAATTAGACCAAACAGACTGTAGAACATTTCACTCAATAAGAGCAGAATACACATTCTTCCCAAGTGTACCTGGAACATTCTCCAGGATAGGCCATATGTTAAACCAAGGAAGTCTCAATAAACTTAAAAGGACTGAACCATCGTGCTGTTGCAGGATTTAAAAGCAGTTCCATTCCTAACACTAGGTTTTCTGTTCACCACTTTGAGTTCTAGTTTGAGCCATGCACTGTATTTGCCTGCTCTCTTCCCGTTTATATCATTACCTGATCTTTTCTGTGGGTGTTTTCCCTCTCTCAAGTAATTTTAAGAAACAGGGCAGGAGCTTCCCTTTTTCCATCTTTGTAAGCCTCACAGTTCTCTACACATGGTGAATATTCAGCAAACTAGAAGTCACTCTTTTTGTTTGGTTTACATATTGGTCTGGACAGTGCCAAAATTAAAACTGTAAACTTTTCAGATAAAAGTCTGGGCATTTGGCTTCTCTTTAAAAATGGGGTGGTCTGGCAATGCTGGATCCACATTCCCAGATGGTATGGAAGTTGGCTGGAGCCAAATAGCAGCTGCCCCTGTAGATGGGCTCAGTTTCCCTCGATCTACACATGTCCTCTGCATGAGAACAATATCAGTTGCTATTATTAACTCACTTGCTCTATTTGTTTTTCTGAAGTAAATTTTAAGAGGAATGTGATAATTTCTTACATGCACACTTCTATCCAAGATGAAAAAGCCAAAGCCAGAAGGAGAGGGTGTATGTGTGTGTTTGTGTGTTTTAGATTGCTTATATCTGAGTTCAATTCATTAATTGATTCATTTAATAACATTTGTTGTGTACTTACCTTGCAGGCACTGTTCTTGTAGATGCTGGGGTGGGCAGGATAAACAAAGAACTAAAGGAAGCTTACATTCCAGTTTACTGGCTAGGCCCTATAGCCATGTGGTTGTGACCCTTGGTTTATATCAGTAAAGAGTGGATGTTTTCAGTGTTAAAACCTACAGAAGGATTGAGGGGAATGAGGATTGAGGAAAAGCAGGTGAGTTAGTTGACTGGGAATGCTTTTAGAAGTCAGGAGGGTTAAGTGGTGAGTGGATGGTGACAATGGATATTCAGAAAAAGTTTGGTGGATAGAAGGGAAGGTAATGTAATGGTGTAGGAAGGTTGGGGGAAGTTTTGTCTATTTTATAGCAGGGGATAAGACATGCATATATTTGTAAACCAAAATAAGATAAAAGGGGTACTGTTGAGGGAGGAACTGAAGATTTAAAAGCCATTGAAGCCTCTAAAATGCAAACGTGACTTTAGAATCAAAAGACAGGAAGAATTTAGAACCTGCATATTGCAGGGCTGGGGATACTGGTGAGATGTGGGCCAGTGTACCTTGCCGGACACCTGAGACATTGCTAGGAGGAGCCCGCCTGTGTAGGAGCTGCTGAGGTGTGCATGTATGTGTGCAGTGGAAACAGGACCGCCAGGAGACCTCCTCTTTCCTCTTTCAACCAGAAAAGAGGTGAAAGGTTTGTTACAAGAGAAACTGAGCCAGAGATTCTCCAGACTAAGGATTAGTAGGATAGTGACGGCAGGAAAGAGACGTGGCACCAAAAACAGAGAGATAAACTGAAATTCTATCCTGAACTGTGGGCCTCCTGTATACCCACCCTGCTTCCAGAATGCCTGCAGCTGGGTGAATAGTATGTGCCATGTGGGAAATAGAAGGATTCTTCCTTAGAGAAACAGAATGGAGTGTCCCTAGAGAAATCTCCCTATATTAACATTTGAGGGGTTCTCTGAAATCTGCTAGCTGATCATGCGATACAGTGAAGACTGTTCGTCATCACTTTGCCAGCCAGCACACATCAAGTTTGCAATTGAAGTTTCAGTGCTTCATTCTTAAAATATATGGGCTACCAAAAAATCACCAGAAATTAGAGTATAGCTTCCAACATGAGAAAGACCGAACTATCAAACAGGAAAACTAACCTTGATGAAATGGAGATATTCAAGGATGCAGAGAAAAACATTTACAAGTCTACCTAATTGATGACATCGGAGATGTAAAGTACTACACTGAGTATATTTTGAAAAAAAGAACAAAAGAGAATCTTGGAAATAAAAAAAAAAACTGATGTTGGATAGAAGGATTGGAAAATAAATCAGGAAACATCCCAGAAAATAGAATAAATAAGGAGGTGGAAAAATATAAGAAAAGGATAAGAAAACTATATTATTAATATAGGAGTTGGACAATTGTCTAAAAAAGGAGTTCCTGAAAGAGGGGATAAGAGAAAATTATAATAAACCTTATAAAAATGTTTCTCAGTAATGCACAACCCATATTGAAAGCTGTGCTTAAATGTAGTGTGAATGTAAGAAAAAAAAAAACAGGAAATAATGCTGTCAAATTCCCAAATGTTTGAGATACAATCCTAACAGCATCAATATGGAGAGTGATACAAGGAAACAGGAAATTGGAAGTAAGATGGAGACACAAATTATTCCATGTGGTTGGGGGTGGGGGACCTTCTATATGAGTTGAGGTTTCCTTTTTAAAAGCGCTTTTGATGCAACTATAGAGTTCACATAATTTCCATTTGGAAGTTTATATTTTGGTGTCACCTCTCACCTCTACCTGTGCCTACCTTTCAGGTTTATAGCTGGTCTCCAAAAGATTGGCAGGCATCAAAGCCTAGTTTATGTTTTAATGAACAAAATTGCTTAAGCCAGTACAATAATGGTCATTGTAAATTCATTTTAATACCAGTGACTTTCCAGAAAGTTTCATATTAGAAGCTTTCCTTTACTTTGATGGGGTGGAAAACAAACAATTTGCTAATCACTTGCTCATAATGTAGATGCAATAAAGCCAGTTGTCTCTCTCTTTAATATATCCTCAAAGAAGAAGACACACTCATTTATGTGTGTATGTGTGTGTTTAAACAAGTAAATAAAACTTTCAACCAGCACAGATTTCTCATATTTTTTTCCCTGATTTTCCTTCTACGTGTGGCTTCGTCTTTAACACAAAGAGTAAAACCAGAATTTCAGAATTCTCCATGACAAAGCGGTTGGCAGTTTCAGTAGACCTTAGTATAATCTTCAAAGTTAGTAGTTACCAGCTCAGTGCATGGTGTTATGTTTACTACTTTCGGCTGATTGGTCCTTAAGAGAATTCTTACCTACTATTTCTCATGATTTTTTTAAAACATAGGCAAGATTCCTGCCTTGCGGAGTTTTTTCATACAATAAAGATAAATTTAAAAGTTTGCTTGGAGGAGTTTATTTTTACTTGTTTGCCAATGAAAGTCTAAAGACAGTATATGTTCATTGTGAATTTTTCTCCAAGTTTCTTCATGGGTCCAGTGAGACCCGTACTTTGAAACAAGGATATTTGGACTGTCTATTGGCTGCTCTCTGCTATGTGAAAAGAATTCGCTTATTTTATTTTTTGTAGGAGTGAGAAATAAGCTAAAAACTCTTTGTTTGTAGTCAGTATCAGTCTTAAATTGATGCTAAGAAATTAGTATTAGGAACTCATTTGCAAGAGTTTAATATCATACAACTTCTTTGGAAAAGAGACATTTAACTGTCAGCAGTTTTCTTTGACATGCTCTATACTTCTCTCTAATGAAAAAAACTGAGGGGGACTATTTATCTCCTTTATAAATTTCTACTATTTGCCACACCATGGTGAATTCTGAGACTCTCCTCTGCCGGAATATCTTGTTGAGGAAGGGGATATCACGACATAGTATCATAGTCTACTGGCCTGCTTTTACACAGCCCAGGCTTTAAGAACACCTTCCAAACATTTTTTGGAAAAGAAAGAACAAGGGTAAAAATTCTATGGGTAGTGGAGACATGGCTGCTTCCATATATCCATTAGGCGGATTACTATAAAATGCATATTGAATTAAAAATTCAGTAAGAAAAATATGACAGATATTGTGTTACCTAGAACTACTTACCTAGATTGTCTTTCTTTGCCCTATTCAGTTGTCCCACAACAGTTCTTTGGTTTCCTCCCCCAGTAAGATCTTTCCCAGAGGCCTTCCTGCAGAGTACAGCATAACAGCCACATTTCGTGTACGAAGGAGCACCAAAAAGGACCGGTGGTTTTTGTGGCAGGTGTTAAGCCAGCAGAATATGCCACAGGTAAGGAGCCCATAGAGTTTTCTGCCGATCAGTTTTCTCTTCTGTGATCAGGCCAGTTGAATAGTGGAACTGTGTGCACAAATTTGGGAGCAGAGCTAGTATCCAAATATTCTGCTTTTTAGACAAACCATCAATAGGGACGTTCAGCTTTGCTCGTTGTTAGGATGATCTTGCTGAGATCCGTAATGGGAGAGCATGGTGCGTCAGGCAAGTTTAGTTTTTGCTTTTATTTTTTTACTTCTAGGTTCATATTTTTTCTAGATACTCAAACTGCCTTTCCTTCCCAACTGCTTCATTGACACCAAGTCCACTTCAGTGATAAATTATTTACCTCCTATCATTTATGATGTTTATTATTTTTAAAGCTATTCATTGTTTCATCTGAAAATCCTTAATGAATTAAGAGGAGAGATGTAAATACTGATTCCATCAGTCAAAATTTATTGAACACATGGTCTATGCTAATTAGTGACAAAGAGATTAAGAAAGCATGATTCCAATTCTGAGGGCTCATAAGTCCTAAGGGAATGTCCTCTGGGCGAACGACCCACGAGACATAATCACAGTGTGACAAGGGCAGTGGTAGAGATAAACTCAAGGTTGGGTGGAAACTGGGACCACAGAGAGAGCAGCTCCCCAAAATGGGGCATGCAGAGATCAGGAATCTAGGGTACTTGTGCAGGTGATAGCATCTGGGCAGAAAAGGGGTACTCCATGGAGGGGAGATGAACCTCATTAGTACTTACTGCACCATGCATTGAGTTTTATTTCCATACATACCCATTGTGATGTTTTTCACTTTACTGGTCTTTTAAACTGTTATCGTAGTCACAAGCTTATGATGGAAAAATGAGCTGAGCTGAAAGAGTATATCCTCTATAAAATGCATTTTCTCTGTACTATGCACATCATTAAGGGTTAAAGAAGTTATTTCAGCTTCCATGCTAAGAGATCATATTCTTATTCTTTTAAAGTGAGTAACATTTAATTCCTGAACTATTCATACAGATTTCATATATAAATACTTTATATATATTATGCATATGTTTGACATATATACATATACTTTATATATGTACATACAATCACACATGCCCATACACAAACACACACACATATATATATACTCTTAGACATTCTCTCAAAAAAGGAGCATACTGCAGTCACGCGGATACCCATATTTAAACCACTTTTTAGCTGGACGTTTGCTGTTTTTTTGTTAACAAATGTAGTGGACACAGGTATCACCTACAACATTTTACTACATATCTCAGTTGTACTAACATGCATCTTGAGTCTTTATTTGGTTGCGTTAATAACTTTGAACACTGATTTTAGAACATTTAACGGTAATTTAAATTTTTGCAGGTCTCTGTAGTAGTTGATGGTGGAAAAAAAGTGGTGGAATTTACAGTCCGAGCAGCCGAGGGAGATGTGTTGAACTACATTTTTAAAAATCGAGAACTCCGTCCTTTGTTCGATCGCCAGTGGCATAAACTCGGCATCGGTATACAGGCCCGGGGCATCTCACTCTATGTGGATTGTAATTTAATTGCAAGCTGGCAAACTGATGAAAAGGATGCTGTGGACTTCCGTGGATGGACCGTTATTGCTGCACGAGCTTCAGATGGCAAGCCCGTGGGTGTGAGTTGTGGTGGTGGTTGTAAAAGAGAACTAGTAAAATTTCTAACTTAAAATAACTTACTAACACCTCTTTGCTTTAGCACTGTGTAATACTTCCCCTGAACACTATTTAATTTGCCATCAGACGTATGAAGTATAGCTATGTATTTCCAACTGTATTTTCACACATATCATCTTCTATCTATTTTTGCCCATTTTTCCAGGCTGTTAATTTAAAAGAACTAGATCATGCCCTAAACAATAGGTTTATCACAGTTAAATTTTAGTAGAAATCTAAAATATGATATGAAAAGTAAACTTGGTGTAAGCTCACGTGTTTTGAATAGAAAGGACTGGGAAAAGATGAACTTTAAATGGTTCCAGATTATCTGATATTTCCATTAAAGAACAATAAGCTGTTTATTCATCCTCAGAATCAATAAACATTGATTTGTTTTTCAAAAGCTTATAATGGTTTTCCAGGGTTCTGTTTAACTGAAATGTAGCCATTAATTATATCAGTAGGTCACTTGGGTAAGAACAATTGGCTAGTAAAACCCTTTCAGATGAAAAGTTCCTTTAAAAATTACATTTGATGCTCAGGTCATATAGACCATTATTAATTTCTCTAAAGAAGAAGGCCTTTATATAGTGAAATATATATAAATTTTATGATTTTACATCTTCTTATGGATAGAATAATGAGAAAATCCACAAAAGTAATCTGAAAACAGATCACCAATAGGAATTGCTAGTGAACACACAGTTTCACAGTTCAATTTTATTTCAAAAGTGACATTTTGTGCAGATACTTATTTGGCCAGTGTGTTGTTTCTCAAGGTCCTTGTGGAAGGAATCATAGTTCTATAGATGATACCTAGCTAGCTAGCTAGCTAGATATTGTGTATGTGTATGTATTTTCAATAAAATATTATTTTCAAACTATCTTCTCTTAGAGTGAATAAGTCAGTGAGAATGTCATAACTAGGGCCCAATGATAGTCAACAAAATAGGCCGGAACAGGAGAAGCCACTTATGAAGTCAAGATATTATGGCCTCGTGGAGCCTGCGCTGGCTTGGGGGACAGACAGGTGCAGTTACATGGTTATGGTTTATGAGTAAATCCTAACACATCTGCTTAAGTTATGATCTACTAATTTATCTTGTTGCCTGTTAGTTTATCTGAGTCTTAGTATCCTCAGTTATAAAATAGTGTTGGTAGAGTTACTACTTATAATTGTGTAGGGTGTGTGCCTAGTATGGGGTCAGTTCTCTGTTTATTCATTCATATATTCAGGATCAGACATGTCACTCAGCCCTTGCATAAGAGAGTGGGAACAAACTAACTGGCTGCTTCTGCTTGCAAAGATCTTGAAGGCTCTGGGAGGATTAAAGTCTCTGCTGGTAAATGGTAGCTGCCAATGAAGCAGTATTAAGAAAGAATTAATCCCAGAATCTGAGGCTGAAGAATATCAGGTGTGTTCTTATAAAAAGACAAACTATGAAAATTGTAGTGTCACAGTGGTTCTTAGTTTAATGCAGAACTTTAGTGTATTTGAGGATAAAATTAAAGCCATATCACAACAATTCAACCCTTTTAAGAGATAGTCACTGTTGAAGTTAAACATAAAATAAAATACATACTTCATTTTTTAGAGATTCTTGGTCCTTAAATTTTAAATTGACTAATTTTTTTATCATCTCCATATAAGCTCTGTGATTCTTAAGATTTGTTGTAATATAAAAATGTTTTGGTTATTCAGAATTAACATTATTCTTAAAAATTCTAATGATTGGGTTTTATTTTACATTCACTAGCCATGTGCTTTTGTGAGAAAGAGGTGACAATACTGATATAAAGAATTTTTATTTTAACTAACAAATCCTGTGTGACAAGTACAGACTTAGCCCTAAACATTCTCCTTTTAAAGCACTGTGTCAGTGAGGGATTCACAAGTACCAAATGAATGAAAAAGAGTGATTAAACTAGGCTAATTATAGTTGTAATACCATACTTGATTGAGTTCTAATCTGCCAAAAATTGATCATCTATCTTCAGTTAAGTAAAATAATTCACATGAAAGGCCTAGTACAGTAGAAGATACTTAATAGAACTTTAATATTTATTGGTTGTTTTGAAAATAATGATGGTGATAAATTAATTTTTGTTAAGAATATTAATTAATTGACATCCCCATTCTTCATTCTATGTGAATATATTATTGCCTTTCATTAGACTATGTAAGAGTGTATTTAAACTTTGTAAATAAAAGTTAACTTCAATAACTTGCAAAAAGTTACAGAAAAGAAATCATTGTTTTGTTTCATCTCATAATTTTGCATTGACTGCAAATCTAAGGTTGCTCTTGAATCTATAAGATGTCTCGAGTTCTTAATACTTTTTATGAGCTGAATTGATTTTGTTCATCTCAGCATACAGTCATAGTTACAGTTTTTACCCTCCCTTCTGCTTTTTTGGTGTTAGGGTAGAGATTCAGAACTAACTGCAGTTATCTGCTTTCTAATATTGTGGGATTAATTATTATAATATTACAGTTGCATCTTCTGTAGAAAGTACTTATCAACCTCAAAGTAATGAATAATCTAGCTTTTATATTGGGAGACAGAGAAGGAGGTGCAGAGAGACAGAGAGACAGAGAGGAAGGTGGGAGGAGGAGGAGAGAAGAGTTGTTCTTGACCTGTGCTACAAGTCAGTTCATCTTATGACTAATTGTTAATTAAATTATTTAATTGGTAACCACAAACTAATTTAAAATAGCCTATTGACACATCTATCCTATTAAAGTTGTATCAGTAGTGTGTACTATCCACTTTCTCTTACATGGTTGTTTGAACTTGCATTTAAAGGCATGATTCTACTTTGCTTGAACTACTTTTAATTTCACATCCAAATGCCAAAAAGCATGAATCTGCTGAACAAATAGAAGGAATCAATTATTTTTGTAAAAAGAGTGTGAGTCTCGCTGCAGGTTATATCAATATAATACAAAATCCATAGGTATTAGGATTGTGAAAATAGATCAAAAGTAGACACTGTTTCTTATTAGAAAGTGAGTATCTGTTTCAGTGCCCCAAATAGGACGTCTGGAACTTCAAATAAAGCCTTTTCCATCATGTGCTCATACCTTGATTTTACTTTTTCTCCAGAATTTATTACTTTGAAATATTCTCCATTTTGTGGACATACTTTATTGTAGTGCCTCATAATACCTTTTCTTGAAATCAAATACTTCTTTTTTTGTTTGAGACAACTAGCAAAGATGTGCTGGTGTTTTCATTACCTGCTCTCCTTTATGTACACATCTTCAAAACTAGACTCTATGTCTGTTTCTCTAATGATCCATAAAATCATGAATCCTAAATTAAATAAAAACATTAAAAACAGCTAACAGTAATTCATTTGTATCATCCTCATTTCTCTTTCCAGTTCAATTACCATAGTTCTTAAGTACCTAAATATGCTTTTTTAAAAAGTAATGATGTGTCTTATCACTAATTTTTTAATAGATTGAACTTCACCAGCTGAAAATCTACTGTAGCCCAAACGTCATAGCTCAAGAAACATGTTGTGGCATATCAGATTCTAAGGTAAATCAATCTTCTTGGCAAGTGAAGAATGTAGAATGCCAGTTACTTAGTCTGTGCAGAGTCCAAAAGCAGGGCAGCGCTGAATGTCTCTGCTGAAGCCATGTGAGTTGTCTGTTCCATGTAAGAGGCCCTTCCCAGTGTTCTCCCAGTTTCTTTTCCCAGTTTTATCTGGAACTTCAGGAATGACATGTCCTCACTTCGGGCTCCACGTAAGTGAGAGAGAATTTATGCCTCTCTCCCTAAGCTATGTTCTGACAGTAGCATCATCATTTTCCAGTTACAGGGGCTTTAAGTTCTCACTCATTTCCCTCTCCCCACTTATCTCCCACCCTGGGTGGTTGTCTTTGGGATAGGCTTCCCCCTGTACCTCCCCACGCCCGGTTACTGTCCTTCCACCTCAGCCTGGACTGGTGTGCAATGGTATCAACTGCCTTCTGGGTCTCTAGTTCATTTTCTTCCCAGCATAATCAGAATAAGTTTCTGAATCACTGCTTTGCATATTCATTGACTTTCTCCCACTAAACATTTATTACTTGAAAACATTGATCTTCTAGACGTGTTGCCAGGGAACAGGGCTAGCAGGCACGAATAAGACACATTCCCTGCCCTCTGTCCATCTCAAAGCCCCTGGTCACTCTCTATTGGCCGCAGAACATAAATCCAGTCCCGTAGCCTCCTGTTTTTAATATTCCCAATGAACTGTGCCACTCCCGCTTTCTTGTAGCAATCTTCCATTGAAAAAAAAATACTGAATTCACTACTTTTGATATCTCTCATTGTGATGATCATGTGTGGCCTTCTACAGCTTAGATACAGTCACATTTGTTTTTAACTTAGTAAATTACATTTTAAACACATGGAAGGGAGTTATGTTTTTATACCCTTTTATTCCTAGTGCTTTGTTTGTAGAAGACAGTCCAAATGTTATTTCTTGACTTGTTAGTTTATCCACTTCTAGAGTGGGTCAAAGAAGTGTGTGAAAGGGACTAATTCGAAAAAGTCCACAGGAAGAATGTGTGGAAAGTAGAAGTAAAAGGTGAAAATGTTTTTCTTTGTATCTTAGATTTCTCAGTTCTACACTTGCCATCAAAAAATATATGAACATTTTATCAATAGTTTAGCATTTCAAAAATATTTTTAATTTCTATTGCTCATTATGGGTAGTAAAACAATAACACGGCCCACTAAGTAAAGCACAGCTTAGTTTTTCCGAATTATATGTTTTGCTTATGTAACTTGGTTTTATAAAGCACATCTCCAACCTGATGTATGCTTCTCATTCCAAGTAAAATGAAAGCCAGCCAAGTGTGTTTCTGTGAATATCTAAAAAGATAATTTAGAATACCAATCTGTAGACTTGAAATACCTGGACTTTCTAGAGCCACACATTTAAACTTGAAGATGTTAGTTCTCCAAGTCTTTTTTTTAAAATATGAATTAAGCTTTTTTGATGTAGGATCTAAAAAGAATAATTTTCCCTGATTGAAAAGTAACATAATGATGTTTTGACAAATCTAAATATTATATTCTTGACCAATAGTCACCAGTCTGTGTTATCACATAATAGACATTTTCAATTCAAATTATGAGAAAACTAAGGAAGGTGATGGATTTGGTGGATTAACTTGATAATTAAAAGCAGTGAAATGACCTCACAAATTAAAAAAAAAATAATGTTTTTAAGAGATTATTTAGGAGTTAGTTTTAAAAAGCAGAAAAGAAAGTAGGATTTTATCTCCAGCTATGGAAAACATAACAGAAGACATTTATTGCATTTATTGTCTTTAGAATCTCCACCTGAATTAATTTTTTTGGGATAATTCATTGCTTTTAAGCAAATTTCACTTCGTGTTGTCCCACATGTTCTGAACTCACTGGATCAGTATAAAATTCACCACTTGTCTGTTACAATGGAGGCATTTTAATAACTTTAAAGGACGATGGGCTGGAATAACATGTACTTTATCAATTACATACCATCTTAGAGTGTAAAAATTATTTTCTACTTGTACAAGCCTTTAAAATCATCTTGATTTTAAGTAAGTTGAACAATGTTTGTTGAAGCAAACAATGTTTTTTAAAAGCTCAAATTACATTTTTTGTTTTTTATTTTAAATGTTTTTTCCCAAAACTCATATGCTGATGTCATCTGTATACATTTATTTTAAAAATGTTTGATTTTACTGTATTTGTCATAAAATCATTTATAATAGCTTTAGAATTTCTCACCAAAACCAACATTTTAATGTATATCTAATGTGTTGTCAGAGAATAAAATGCATAGGGGGATTTTATTTTTAAATAAAGAAAATTAAATAAAAGTGAAAGAGCAAAGGCGTTATGAACTTTTACACGCTAGTGCCGACTTTCGGTTAATTAGAAGGCAGCTCGTGCAGGTAACCCCTGTCATCCCTGATATTTGTAATGTCAGAATGTCTGGAATTGACTGTTTCCTAAAGCCTCTTTTTCGGGTTTTAGTGTCCAGAACAGGATGGCCCGGGTGGCGCCGCGGTGTCGTTAGTTCCCGCTCGTACCAGCAAAGTGTCCACGTACCTGCCGGCAAAGCAGGGACCCCCAGACCAGTGCCGGTGCCCCCCCAGCAAGGTATGCTAGCTTCAGCCTGTGCCCGCAGAAGAGCCGATCCGCAGAGCGCGCAGAGCCGCGAGAGTGAGGCCCTGGTGCCCAGCACGCGGCCTGCCCTCCAGTGCGCTGTCAATCAAATGCATAAGCCACTTGGTAGCGGGGTGAGTTAGAAGGGAGGTGGGCAAAGGATTTCCTGGATTTTTGTCTGGATAGTTCTGAGGCCATGTGACCTTCTTTCCAGGTTGTGAATTAGAATAAATATAAAGGTGAAGGGGGAACCAGCTGTGCAGCAGACCATTACGAAGCGCTTGGCATGTGCCAGGAGTAGGCTTGGGTTCTGGGAGCCTCAGCTGAAGGAACACAGTGCCTGCTCCTCACACACACACACATAATCTGCGAAGTATTTCTCTGTGCGGAGACTGACTGGGGTTCCCAGGTAGTGAACCAGCGATCCCCTTGCACCATAGCTTGTATGGGGAAAACGCACAGGGGCTCTGTCATTACCCAAAGAGCTTGTTTCACTTACACCAGGGTGGGCCCTAGTCAGGAAGGCTGGGCCTGTGGATCTACAGAGATGCCTTTTGTAGATGTTAGTGGCAGTCATGAGTCCTGTGCTGAAAGTAGGCTGACTGATCTCTTGATGGCTCTCCCCTAGGCCCGTACCTGAGGAAAAGAAAGGAAAAAGAAAACTTGCCCAGTTCCTAAGGCAGAATGTCCCATCGCTGCGGCTTAGTGCGCACCCTTAGAGTTACCGTATCCTGGCACCACTTCACTCCTGGCTGGAGGGATGGGGATGGGGTGAGGTGCAGATTTAGAGGAACCGTACATTTCCTTCAGTGACCACTACTGTGTAGTAAGTTCCACGAGGCAGGCAGGGCAAGAGTCAGGGTGGGCGTGTGTCCCCGTCCATGGAAGGTCTCATGGAACAGACGGTGCTAAACTGCATTTAAAGAGGGAGCGTAGTGAGCCCGTGAACAAGGGAAGAAGGACTTCCCACAGAGTGACCGGCATCAGCTCAGAGGACAGCATAGCTTTATCTCACTTTGTCAGCTCCATGTTTATAAGCCGTTTGTCTGTAGCTCAGTGTGACAGAATGTTTGATAACAGAAATTTGTTTTTGCTCAGGGAGAAGCAGGATTACCAGGAACTCCGGGCTCACCTGGTCAGAAAGGGGATAAAGGAGAACAGGTAAGACACTATCTCGCTGTGGAACGAGAGCACACTTGTTCAAAAGTGACCTACAAGTATATCTGTCTCATTTTTCTCTGTCCCATGCAAATGCACATTTCTGTTAGAGGCTGTCAAGGGCTGGATTTAAATACTGATCACGGAAACAAGACTACAGCAGCATTCAAGTCTGCTGTGGAGTTCCTACTGCAAAGCAGGCCTAAAATCTGCTAAATTCTAGAAACACAAATCTTTTTACCTATAAACTGTAAGCAAAATTGTGAAGCAAGAAATTTTATTGTTTACTTGTATCCTAGCCATCTTTAGCATCCTCTTCTCCAAATACCAGATGAACTCTTGTTTCTCTTATCTTCTGATGGGTCCCAACTGATGATTCCTTCTTAGCAACCTACCTATTATCTATCTGTCTGTCTGTCTGTCTGTCTGTCTGTCTGTCTATCTATCTATCTGTCTATCTATCTATCTATCTATCTATCTATCTATCTAGCCATCCATTGATTTTTTTAAAATAAATTTATACCTTTTTAACCTATTTCTCCCATCCTTTACCTCTGGCAACCACTAATCTATTCTCAATATCTATGACTTTGTTTTTGTTTGGTTTGGTTTGCTTTTTTATTTTTAGATTTCATGTGTAAGAGAGACCATATTATATTTGTCTTTCTCTGGCTGACTTATTTCACTTAGCATAATGCTCTTGAAGTCCACCCATGTTGTTGCAAGTGGCAGGATTTCATTATTTTTATTGGCTAAATAATATTCCACCATATGTATATCTATCTATACTTACAGATATATAGAGAAGTATACAACAATTTCTTCATCCATTCATCATCTGATAGACACTTATGTTGTTTCCATATCTTGGCTATTATAAATAATGCTATCGTGACACTGATGGACAGTGACTGTAATGGGGTATGTGGTGGGGACTTGATAATGGGGGGAATCTAGTAACCACAATGTTGCTTATATGATTGTATATTAATGATACCAAACAATAAATAAATAAATAATGATGCTATAGTGAACATGGGGGTATATATGTCTTTTTGAATTAGTGTTTTCATTTATTATGGATAAATATCCAGAAGTGGAATTGCTAGATATCATATGGTAATTCTATATTAAACTTTTTGAGGAATCTCCATACTGTTTTCAATGGTGACCGCACCAATTTACATTCCCACCAACAGTCTGTGAGGGCTCCCTTTTCTCCACATTCTTGCCAACACTGGTTATTGTTTGTCTTTTTGTTATAGCCATTCTAACAGGTGTAAAGTGACATCTCATTATGGTTTTGATTTGCATTTCCCTGATGATTAACGATGCTGAGCATCTTATTATGTACCTGCTGGCAATTTGTATGTTTTATTTGGGAGAATGTCAGTTAAGATCTCCTGCCTGTTTTTAATCAGTTTCTTTTTTTGCTATTATGTTGTATAAGTTCTTTATATTTTTTTGATATTAGCCCTTTATGAGGTATATGATTTGCAAATATTTTTTTCCCATTCAATAGTTTGAATTTTCATTCTGTTGATGATTTCCTTTGCTATGCAGATGCTTTTTAGTATGATGTAATCCCGCTCATTTTTGCTGTTATTGATTTTGCTTTTGGTGTCACATTCAAAGATCATCCCTAAGACCTAAGTCAAGGAGCTTACTACGACTGTGGAGCTACTAGGACAGTGTTTTCTTCTAGGAGTTTTATGGCTTCAGGTCTTATGTTCGCGTCTTTAATTTATTTTGAGTTATTTTTCTTTGCAGCTGGTGTAAGACAGTGGTCTAGTTTCATTCCTTTGTATGTGGCTGTCTAATTTTCCCAACAACATTTATTGGAGAGACTATGCTTTTCTTCTAGCTCCTTTGTCATAAATTAATTAACCATACATGTGTGGGCTCATTTCTGGACTCTGTTCCATTGATGTGTGTATCTTATTTTTATGCCAATACCATATTGTTTTAATTATTGTAGCTTTGTGATAAAATTTGAGACCAGGGAAAATGATACAGCTGCCTTTGTTCTTTCCCAAGACTTCTTTGGCTATTTGCGTTTTTTGTGGTTCCATACAAATTTTAGGATTATTTGTCCTGTTTCTTTGAAAAATACCACTGGAAATCTGATAGGAATTGCAGTGAATATGTAAATTGCTTTGGGTAGTATGAACATTTTAACAATATTGATTCTTTCAATCCATAATAATAGGAGATCTTTCCATTTATTTGCATCTTCTTCAATTTCTTTTATTAACATCTTACAGTTCTCAGTATACAGGTCTTTCACCTCCTTCGCCAGATTTATTCCTAGGTATGTTGTTCTTTTTGTTGCAGTTGTAAATGAGAATTTTTTTCTTTATTTCTTTTCTGATAGTTCACAATTAGTGTTTAGAAACAACAGATTTTTGTGAATTTTGTATCCTTCAATTTCACTAAATTTGCTTATTATCTCTAATATTTTTGATGAAATCTCTAGGATTTTTTTTTATATGCAGTGTCATGTCATTTGCAAATAGTGACAGTTTTACTTCTTCCTTTCCAGTTTGGATGTCTTTTGTTTTTCTTGCCTAATTGCTCTGGCTAAGACTCCCAGTACTATGTTGAATAGAAGTGGTGAGACTGGGCATCTTTGTTCCTGATCTTGGAGGAGAGGCTTTCAGCTTTTCATCATTGAGTATGATGGTCTTTATTATGTTGAAATATGTTCCCTCTTTACCCACTTTGTTGAGAGCTTCATAAATGGATGCTGAATTTTGTCAAGTGCTTTTTCTGCATCTATTGAGATGATCATATCATTTTTATCCTTCATTTTGTTCATGTGGTATATCACATTGACTGACTTGTGGTTTTTGAACCAACCTTGCAATTCTGAGCTAAATCCCACTGGGTCATCATGTATGATCCTGTTACTATATTGTTGAATTTGGTTTGCTACTACTTTGTTGAGGATTTTTGAATCTATGCTCATCAGGGGTATTGGCCTATAATTTTCCCTTTTTGTACTATCCTTGTCTGGTTTTGGTATAAGGGTAATCATATAAAATTATACAAAAATCTATCTTAGAGATAGAAGATATTACATAACTTCCCATTTATAAAATATATTTAAAATATTAACATTTGTTTTAACTTCCAGACTATACAAAACTCACAAAGGCAACAACTAATTATTGTTGAATTCATTTTATTAACATTTTGTTGAGGATTTTTGCATTTATGTTCAGCAGGCCTGTGATTTTCTTTTCTGGTGGTTTGTTTCTCTTCTGGGCTGGATGGGTCCCCTCTGAAGATTTTTCCTTAGCTCCCCACTCTTTATTTAAACAGCTTACTTTTGCTGAGCACCTCCTCTGTGTAAGGCATATTGCCTATATTATAGGGCTAGAAGGAATAGGACACATTCTCTGTGCTCAAGGATTTTATATCTGGGAGGAGATAGAGGGACATTGCAAGACTGTGTATATTAGGAATAGGAGAGTTGCAGATGTCCTGAGAGAATGGTCTGGGAGACTGGGGAGAGAGTTTAATGGAAGAGATGGTGAGTGAGCTGGACCTCTAAGGATCTGATTTTAGGCAGTAAATATCTCATGCTTAGAGATCTGCCATTCCTTTCTCCCCGTCCATCAAAACTTAAATGACCTGTTTTTCACTCTTTACTGTCATGTCTTTTATTAGCTAAGTAAATTAATTTGAGCTAAGGTTAGGAGTATATAATGTTTTTGTTATATTTCCAAGGTGAAACAGATTTAAATTCCTTTCATGTCTTAACTTGAAAGTCCATGATTCGAAATTAGTTACATTGTGGAATGAGTTATGTTGGACTCCTGATTTTTGAAAGATAGGAGACTGATGTCTGAGTAATGACTGATCCCTCACAGTTGCACTGCAAGCTTTGCCAAAATCATCCAGTCATTTGACTCCTAAAGGAAGGTCTGTCCACTGCAGCTTGCATGGGAACTTCATGCGCCTTAGCAGGTGTTTGAGAAGACAATTTTGAGGTAGGTTAGAAAATTTATTTTTGTTCTTTGAATCACAGTACTTGGGATACCTTTGCATTTTTTTATTTGTTAAATATTTAAAATGTTTAAAATATTTAAAATAATTAAATAATATCTAGTTCTAAGGACTACTTCAATCAAAATGAACATATAAATCATTATAGCAATAGCTAGTATCTATGGAGTGTTTACTATGTCCCAGACACGGGTAAGAGTGATTTACATATGTTATCCTTTTGATCCTTACAACTCTTCCTATTAGGTATTAGTATTACTATTTTACAGAAGGCAAAACTGAGATTTTGCAATGAGGTTAAATTATTAACCAAGGCTGCATGGTAAATGGTCAAGCTGGGACCTGAATCCAGGCCTGTTGACTCCTGTGTCTTTCTTGTAACCAGTATGCATTTTGAAAGTTACTCCATATTTTAAAAGCACTGTAGTATTATTTATCTGTGTTCTTTGATCATGGTACTTCAGCTCATAGTATCTTATTTTATCCTTAAAAATTTATAATGGATGTCAATCTAATATTTTTATCCACATTTTGCAATGAGAGAACCACATGTAAGGAAAATGATGTGTCCAAGGTAACGTAACTGAGAGGCTCATAAAGTAGAAAGCTCACTGGATTAAACCCAGCTTCTCCTCAGGTCAGCAGTGTGAATTTGGCCAAGCCAACCAGTCTTCCTTGATTCATTTCTCTCATCTGTCAAGGAGGGTGTATCATCTATCAGTTCTACCCATCACGAGTTTGACACGAATTGCTTTGACAAGGCACATGTCTTACTTGTTGGTGACTGTGATGTAATACACAGTAACATTTCTCCATTTGACTTTCCTGTTCTTTGATTTACTAATTCTATGAACTTAAGATTATTGGCATAGGAAAAAAGTTTCACATCAGTCTTAGAAGGGGTAAAATATTTTAAAAACATCCCTGTCCCTTTTAAAAAAACATTTCCTCTTCAGAAGTATGATCCTAATTAAAAGAAAAGTATTAAGTGA